CCCCATGGGTCTACAGTCCTGCGTTAGGCACACTGAGTACCAGGGGAAGAAGCAGGGTGTGTAAAGCCTGGGTGGAAGTACCTGACTGCTGGGAGAACGTCTCTGTGTGGGGTGGGGTTAGGTTAATATACACCCTGAGGATTTATAACTTTCTTCTGACATGGGGTGTGGTGTGGAACGTTTGAGGTCCAAGTCTCTGGAAAGGGCCTAACAGACAACCTGCAGGCTGCTTTGTTTATGGGTCCAGGAGTGGGCATTGTTTTGGGTGGGGTAGGTGCCCCTTGAAATGGGTATCTTTTTCCCTAAGTTACAAATATCTACTTGGAGATTAGATTGCCTCACTGTGTTCCTAAGATCTTGGCCTCTGGAAGCCCCCTGGTGCTGGGAGAAGGGCAGGGGTGAACCTCACCCTCTGTAAGAAGACTCAGTCCTCCCATAGCCAGGATGGTAGCCTCTAGCCAATGTGGTTATTGAGCTCTTGAAAGGTGGCTGGTCCCAACTGAGATGTGTCGTAAGAGAAAGATACACTTCAGATGTTGAAGACTTACTATGAAAAAAAGAGTGGAATACAGCTCATTACTAATTTTGAAATATTGATTACATGCTGAAGTGACTATATTTTTAACATATTGGGTTAAGTAAAACATTTTTTTCTTTCTTGCGGTACGCAGGCCTCTCACTGTTGTGGCCTGTCCCGTTGCGGAGCACAGGCTCCGGACGCTCAGGCTCAGCGGCCATGGCTCACGGGCCCAGCTGCTCCGTGGCATGTGGGATCTTCCCGGACTGGGGCATGAACCCGTGTCCAATGCATCGGCAGGCGGACTCCCAACCACTGCGCCACCAGGGAAGCCCCGAGTAAAACATATTTTTGAAAGTAATTTCACCTGTTTCTTTTAATTAAAAAAATGTAACTAACTACTAGAAAATTTAAATTACATATGTGGCCCATATCTGTAGCTTACATTAGGCTTCTGTTGGACCACGCTGCCTCAGTCCATCAGGACTTTTGGTTACCATAGGATGGGGACTCCTGGGTTCTGTCCTGGTTCTTCCTTCTCTCTTTAAGCTCAGGGAACTTGATTACTTCTCCATGACCATTACTTACTCCTTTTCATCCACAACCCTGAAAGAAGCAGCCGTAAGCCCTTTGACGAGATAAGGGAATAATATTCAGGAATTGCTAGGAAGAGGCAGCCACGGGAGAGGAGATACGGCAGACTGAGACCCCAGCCCAACCTTCTGTAGAAGGAAGGGAAGGAGAGGCAGGAAGCCCTCTAAGGCTAGTGGTCTAAACCAGGCTCATTTCTTCCTACCCACTGGGGACATTTGGAAACATCTGGAGACATCTTTGGTTGTCACACTGGGTGAGGTGGGGATGCTACTGGCATCTTAGGGTAGAGGCCAGGGATGCTGAGAAACGTTCTACAACACACAGGACAACTGCCACAACAAAGAATGATCCAGCCCCAGGTGTTCATAGTGTCAAGGTTGAGAGACCCTGACCTGCCTAGGAAATGCCTTTGATATCCGTGGCCAAAGACAGGAAGGGAGGCTGTGGACGCTGACACAGTAGAGGGGCCTGCCCCACCCTCTCCCATTCCCTGACTCTTTCTTCATCACCGGTGACTCATGGCCCTTGCCCTGCACTGAATCTGCCTGAACTCATCCTGGTGGAGAGAGAAGAAGCTCTCCTCAAGTGTGACTCACATGCCCCAAGTCTCAGGTGGAGACCTTTCCCTGTAGGAGATAAGCCCTCTGGGGGAGAGGGCTAGAGAAGTGATTGGTGCAGAGGGTACGTGGTTAGTTGCCACTCTTGTTCCCTTACCTTGCTGGTCTTTTTTGTTTGTTTGTTTCCTGTTTCCAACTCCCTCTGCAACTGCCCTGAGCTTACAAGAAGCTCCTGGTCAGATCTGACTCTACAGAATTGTTGGGCAGATAGCTATCAGAGTTGTTGGGCTGAGAAGGAAGCTGATGGAAGCAGATAGGGCTTTCTCAGAGAGAATAAAAACTGTGAATTTGCCTCCGGATTTCTTGCAGAAGCCCAGGTCTCCAGGGTCTGCAGCTGGGAGCAGGCCTGCTGGTGTTGGGATAGGTCCATTCTGTAACTCTCCCACCAGCTTTCACGGAGCCCTAATTCCAAACCCCAGCTCTGAAAGGCACACTCCCTGCCCTCAGGGAATTTACAGTCTAGCCGGGGATACAAAGCCTGCATACTTAAGATGATTTAAATGGCATTAAAGGGGACTCAGTGGTAACAGAGGCTTTAAAGGAGCAGAGAGTCAGGGTACAGAGTGATGACAGGGTTGCCCAGAACTATGGAAAGAACCTGTGCTCTGGACCCCACTGGCTTCAGCTATATCCTGATGCTAAAATTTCCCAGCTACGTGACCTTCTTCACGAAATGATGGCACCAATAAAATCTAGGTATAAATGAGATTCTGCTTTCTGCCCTCATTCCCCACACACAGCTGGGTAGAGCCTGTCCCAAGGAGCAGTGCTGGGGGTTTCTAGATTGCTCTCTCTGTGGAAGATGGCTTGCTGATTTGGAGTATCAGCTCCTTACAGAAAGATGCAGCCTTGTAATTTGTAGCAGTTGTATTGGGCTTAAGGTAGAGGCATCCTTTCCTCGTTGTTCTTGGGAGAAAGATTCCTGCCAGTTATTTGGCCTCATGTGTCCTTCCCACGGGAGCTATAATTTACTGAGCATCTATTATGTGTCAGATACTAAGTAGGTACTTTGCTGCATTCTCTTATTTAAGTCAAGCAATAAGCAATAATTGAATATCCTCTCTGTATTGAACACTGGGGCAGGGGCTGGGTGACTCAGACATAAGGTTAAAAAAAAAAAAGACAATATAGGGAATTCCCTGGCAGTCCAGTGGTTAGGACTCCACACTTTCACTGCCAAGGGCCCGTGTTCAATCCCTGGTCGGGGAACTAAGATCCCACAAGCCACAAGTTGTGGCCAAAAAAAAAAAAAAAAGACAAAATTCTAATAGGGGAGAAAAACATGACATTTTCAGTGCTGTGTGTGAGTGTGCTGGTGTGGAGGTAAGTCATGAGCCTTCACTTGGTCTCCTGGCTGCTGAAGAGGTAAGCTGCTAACTGGGTGATTCCCCCCTGACTCAGGCACCTCACGTACACGCAGAGGCAGCTGGATGTCACAACCCCAACCCGAACCAGGCACCACATGTGTACCCAGAAGATCACCTCCAACTAAGCCAGATCTTTTCTAATTAGAAACCCAGGTGTAGGGGCTTCCCTGGTGGAGCAGTGGTTAAGAATCCACCTGTCAATGCAGGGGACACGGGTTCGAGCCCTGTTCCGGGAAGATCCCACATGCTGCGGAGCAACTAAGCCCGTGTGCCAAAACTACTGAGCCTGCGCTCTAGAGCCCGCGAGCTACAACTACTGAAGCCCACGCATCTAGAGCCCATCCTCTGCAAGAAGAGAAGCCACCGCAATGAGAAGCCTGCGCATCGCAATGAAGGGCAGCCCCTGCTTGCCACAATTAGAGAAAGCTCGTGCGCAGCCAAAAATAAAACAAACAAACAAGTAAATAAATAAAAAATAAAAACCCAGGTGTCAGCAACCATTCAGGAACACCCAGGGACTTTGCTTTCCTAACCTGGGAAAGGGACAGTTCATAGTCTCCTGGCTTTGGAAAATGACCTCTTTTCTCCTCCCACATTGTCAGATCTGAAGTTTTCCTAGTCTGTGCTAGATTGGGCTTCCTGCTTGAAAGTAAATCTTCCTTTTTTTTTTTCCATTCAGCACTCAATCTTTGGTTTCTGGTAGTTTAAACATTTTTCTTTAACAAAGGCAAACCACAGCACAGAGGAAGGAATGATAAATTCTGTGTGTAAGAGTCAGAAAAGTTTGGAGAAGAGGTTGCATTTAGGCTGGGACTGGAATGATAACAAAAAGATCCGTCAGGCTGACAAAGCGATGAGGAAGCACATTCCAGGGGCTGGGAGGACGTGAGCAAAGGAAGAGGTGTGCAAATGTATGACCTATTCAGGCCAGGCAAGGTCACTTGTAGGTGTTTGGTGGGAACTGTGAGGTGTTCCCTGGAAAGTTAGGGTGGCACAAGCTTGTAAGATAATACTAAAGAGTTGAGAATTTTCCCCGTGGCCAAGCGTTGCAAACTCAAATACCTACAAGGACCACTCAGACACCTTAAATGAATGAAAAAGGTATTCTTCTACAAGGACACAATTTTTTTTTTGAGGGGGGTGTTAATCTTACACCTGTGGGGACATTCTTCACATCCAAAAAATAGATATTATCTTCCTTCATTCAAGGAGTATTGGCCGAGCTTCTTCCAGGCACCAGGCATCGTCCTAGGCACTGGCTACTTGTCTTGAAACATGTACATCTCTAAGCCCTTCTTTTCTTTTCTTACTTTTGCTAGAGATGTGAATATAATACATTTTCTCTACTATTATGAAAAAACTCAGGGCATGATAAAAAGGCAACAGACACCCCAAGAAGAGTGATGAGGAAGAATGGGGTGGGGAGAACTGGAGAATCTGTGTCCTGTGTAAAAGGGCATCTCTGGCTCAGCACAAGTTGATTATAACTGTGCTGAGAATAAGACTGGTAGAATGCACCAATTCAATTTTTCTTCCCAGAGAAAGTGGCAATAGGGATTGAAAAAATGTGATTGTATCAAAATTTTTTATGTTGGCTAAAAACTTTAAACTTACTATATGCTGCCCACACACAAATGGCTGGCAGGGCGTGTTGGGGTCACGGGTGAACCATCAGTCCTCCGCCATCCTCTGCTCTAGGCAGCAGGCAGTGAGGGAATGAATACTGGATAGGCATCAAGAGTACTGGATGCCTATCCAGTGTTCATTCACCCCTTCTTTTTTAAAAACAGCATCCCAAGGTTGTCAAGGTGGCCGTGTGTCCAGCTAATAACCATATTTCCCAGCCTCCCTTGCTTAGTCAAGTCATGTGACTCCCATGTGACTAAGTTCTGGAAAATGAGAGGCCAATGGTTGTGCTTGGCTGTTATTGAAAAGGCTACAAAAAGGGGATAGACAGCTGGTAATGTCCCCCATACTTCCAGCTTTCTTCTTCAAAGAGTAAAGTGATGGCTAGAGCTTCAGCAGTCATATTAGGCTAAGGGGCAGCCTTGAATATAGAAGCCATATTAGTGCTTGACAAAATACCAAAGACTGTGTAACTTAGACAACAGATACTAATTTTTTCCAGAGTTACGGAGGCCAGAAGTCCAAGATCAAGGTGTTGGAAGGTTTGGTTTCTTCAGAGGCTTCTCCCCTTGTTTTGAAGGTGACCACCTTCTTGCTGTGTGCTCACATGGTCTTTTCTCTGTGTGTGCACATCCCAGGTATCTATTTGTGTGTCCAAATTTCCTCTTCTTATAAAGACATCAGTCCGATTGTATTAAGGGCCCGGTCTCCAAATACAGTTATGTTCTGAGGTACCAGGGGTTAAGGTTTCAACATACCAATTTTTGGGTGGGGAGATAATTCGTCCCATAACAGAAATTAGGCATGAAAGATGCTGGGATTATTGAAGAGACAGTTTTACTTCTTCTTTTCCAATTTGTATTCCCTTTATTTCTTTTTCTTCTCTGACTGCAGTGGCTAGGACTTCCATGATCTAGCCCCTCCTTATGACATATGGAATTTAGGAATAACTGTGCCCATTGTCTGCTTGTAAGATGCACTTATCAGAAAAAGGCAATATAATGTATGGGTTGAAAACATGGCCTCTGGAGCCAGACTGCCTGGATTCAAATTCTGACTATGCTTCTTATTAGCTGTGTGACCTTGAGCCAGTTACTCAGCCTCTCTGTGCCTCAGATTCCTAAGGGACAATAATAGTATTTATCTCAACCTGTTGTTGTGAAGATTAAATGGATTGATAAGTGAAAGGTATTTAAAATAGTGCTGGCACATAATTCCTTCTATCCAAGTGTTAATATTATTCAGGTTTTATGTTGTCTCTACCATGGTATGGCTTAGGATGGAATGTTCCACTCTCTGTTAGGAAGACAGCATGTCAAGGCATCCCCTCTTTAGAGCAGGCTTCACATCTTTATTCCTCAGGCTGTAGATCAGAGGGTTCAGCATGGGGATGATCACTGTGTAGAAGACAGACACGACCTCGTTCTGTTCCATGGAACTGTGAGAGCTTGCCTGAGCATACATGAAGGTGATGGTGCCGTAGAAGAGGCAGATGACTGCGAGGTGAGAGGCACAGGTGGAGAGTGCTTTGCTCTGAGCCTTGAGGGAACGCATCCTGCAGATAGTCACCAGGCTGTAGGCATAAGAGACCAGGATAATGATGATGGTAAAGAGGATAATCAAGGCAGAAGATGAGAAGACAATGGCCTTAGCCTTGGCAACGTCTGCACAGGCAAGTTGGAGCACAAGGGGGATGTCACAGACATAGTGGTTAATGATATGGGGGCCACAGTAGAGCGGCTTGAAGATGTACCCAGTCAGTAAAGCTGAATTGGCAACAGAAGCCATATAGGTGACTGCCACCAGTTGGACACACAGATGTTGGGACATGCTGATTTTGTAGAGGAGAGGGTGGTAGATGGCAGCAAATCGGTCATATGCCATAATGGCCAGGAGCAGACACACAGCAGTACCGTGGAGAGTCATGAGGGTCATCTGGACCAGGCAGCCTGCAAAGGAGGTGGACTGGCTTGAGGTGAGGAAGCTCTGCAGCAACCTGGGGGTGTTTAACGTGGAGAAGGAGGAGTCTATGAAGGAGAGGATACTCAGCAAGAAGTACATGGGCGTGTGGAGCTGCGGGTCTGCGTGGATCAGGGTGATCATGGCCAGGTTGTCTGTGAGGGTAACTGAGTAGATGAACAGGAAGAGTGCAGAGGATGCCCTTGAGCCCTGCCTGCTCTGTGAGCCGCAGCAGGAGGAACCAGGTGACGCAGGTGCAGTTCTTTGCTGTAGTGCCCCTGTCACTGCAGAGACACCAAGTAAGACATGCTTGTACCCTAGAGGCAGACCCTGGATTCAGTGTCTGAAGCTCTTTTAATTCCCCAGAATGGGCAGTGCTAGAGGAACTGGGGAGGGGACACTGGCATGAACTGATCACCTACTCTGAGTCATGTGCTACCTCATTTCCTAAACAGCTATTGAAACTTCATAATACTTTCTCACTTAAATATTATGCCCATTTAAGTATTCACAATAGCCAAGACATGGAAACAACCTAAATGTCCATCGACAGAGGAATGGATAAAGAAGATGTGGTACATATATCCAATGGAATACCACTCAGACATGAAAATGAACGAAATAATGCCATTTGCAGCAACATGGATGGACTTAGAGATTATCACACTAAGTGAAGTAAATCAGACAGAGACAGACAGATAATATATGATATCACTTATATGTGGAATCTAAAATATGACAAATCAACTTATCTATGAAACAGAACAAACTTATGGTTGCCAAGGGGGACAGGGCAGGGGGAGGGATGGATTGGGAGTTTGGGATTAGCAGATGCAAACTATGAATAATCAACAAGTTCCTACTGTATAGCACAGGGAACTATATTCAATATCCCGTGATAAACTATAATGGAAAAGAGTATGAAAAAGAATGTATATATACATATAACTGAATCAGTTTGCTATATAGCAGAAATTAATGCAACATTGTAAATCAACTATACTTCAATAAAATAAATTGTAAAAATGTATATAACATAAAAAATTATGTCCATTTATATTTAGTGAGAGTATCAATTTGTCCAAGGTAAAAGAGCATAAAGAACGTGGGATTAGAACTCAGTCCAAGTAACAATCATATGTCTATTATATAGTTATAATAATTTTCTCTTCCCCAAATTTCCTGTTCCATGGAGAACTGGCATCACTAGTGAGTGTTGGAGGCCAGTATGTTGGTCCAGAGAGGGAATACATGGAAGTGTTAATTTGTTATTTATTTGGGGGCAAAGGCTCCAACAGTACTAGTCCCCAAGGCCAGGGACATTGAAATCAAGCCTAATGTCATCATTAATATAAGGTGACTCAGTAGAGCAGTGATTTCTGCCAGTGTTGTAGGTTGAATTGTATCTTTCAGGAAGATTTGTTGAAGTCCTAACCCCTGGTACCTGTGAATGTTACCTTATTTGTAAATAGGGTCTTTGCAGAAGTAATCAAGTTGAATCATATTCGATTAGGGTGAGCCCTCAATCCACTATGACTGGTGTTCTTATAAGAAAAGAAAATGGAGATACAGGAGATGATACGGGAGAATGCCATGTGAAGACACGGATACAGAGGCAAGGTGGCCATGTGAAGACAGAAGCAGAGGTTGGAGTGATGCTGCAAGCCAAGGATGTCTGGGGCTTCTGGGAGCCAGAAGAGACAAGGAAAACTCCAGCCCTTGAAGCTTCTGAGGGAGCACATCCCTGCCAACACCTTAATTTTGAACTTGCAGCCTCCAGAACTACGAGGGAGTGTATTTTTCTTGTTTTAAGTCACACAATTTGTGGTACTTTGTTACAGCAGCCCTAGGACACGAATACACCCAGCTGGGGACACTCCTGGCTATTGGTACAGGCCTCCTGAGCAGTTGTCAGGAGACTGGGCTTTCTTTTTTTTTTTTTTTTTTTGGCCATGACACATGGCATGTGAGATCTTATTTCCCTGACCAGGGAGCAGTGGAAGTGCAGAGTCTTAACCACTGGACCGCCAGGGAAATCCCTGAGGCTGGGCTTTCAGATCTCTCTCTATTGACAGAGCTAATAATCCAAGGGGAGAAAATTAAATGCAATAAATTAAAACAAAGTCATTTATTATTTACCACTAACTAAGAAAAATATTTGTATGGGAGAATAGGCAGCTACATTAAATATGAAAACTCCGGTTCAACAAAACCATGACCAAAGAACCAAAGTCTTGTGTTTTAGCTATAAATAACTGAAGGCAGTAGGACATGTCAGATTTGTGGTATTGGGGTCCAGTGCAGGGCATGGTTCTGAACTGGAGGTGAGCTCTTTCACCAGAGAGCACAGGTCAGGGTGTTCACACACCTAACCTCCCCAGAGGAGCCCACACGTTTTCTCAGGTGTTGTCATGCTCCCAAGAATTTGCCTCTAAGCATCCTTGCTTTTTGGGTTTTCAGATAACCAAGGCTGCTGTTCTGAGGGGAAGCCCTTGTATGGGATACTGGCCAGGGCCTTCTGTCATTGGTTGGACATCATTGGTTGGACATCAATTCTGATTGGTTGAGCGTAGGTTCTGATTGTTGGAGCATCTGTTCTGTTTGGTGCCCATGGCGTTCTGGTTGTTAAATGTTTGGAATTCTGTATCATCTGGATGAGGCTGGGAACAAAGGAGGAATAAGGTAGGGCCTCTTCAGAGTATCTCAGGATAGCTAGAAATAAGTGGCGTCTGATCAAAGCTGGTAATAGGGCTTTGTGCTATCAGTATCTATTGGCAACTCGGCCTCTTGAAATATAAAAAAGTATGTACAGATTTTACCCATGGAGAGCACCAGTGGGGTTGCTTCCTCTCTGCTCATGGTGTTTCCTTTCTTAAAGAGGGATATCGATTGTGTAATACACCTGGCCCCCTCTTCTCCTGGAGGAGGGATGCCTTTTGTGATCAATGGGTTTGGGATAAGGCACTGAATGCGTGTAGCTCTGCTTTGCTCATTGGAAGCACAGGTTCTGCTCTGCTCTATTTCTCCGTAATGTAGACCTTAAAACTAGGTCATTGTCTGTCTAATTTTTAAGAAGACCACTTACAAGGATGAGTCATGTTCTGCAGTACCAAGTTGCATCAGTGATGCAGGTGGTATTTTGCTCTCTGTCTGCGTTTCTTCTACCTCATCTCTCTTAATTGGTTCAGAATTAGCATAGAGAGGAGAGATGTTAGTTATTGTGGTCCTTAAGGACCTCAGCACAGAGAAAACCAGAAGGAAGCTGGCAGGGGTGCTTTTCTTGGCCTGTCTCTTCAATAATTCCATGACCTGGGCTCACTCATCTCTAGCACACTGATAGAGTTAAGGGGTGAGTTGGCTGAAACAATGGGTGTGATTGAACCCTGGAGGAGCTGGATTCACAGTAATAAATTCCTGGATGAGAAAGCAGGACAGCCCCCTCCAGTTCCTCTGCTAAGATGTTGATGAAGGGCTGCCATGGCAATGAGAGTACATGAATGAGAATGAAGTGTGCTGACAAGAAAGAAAAGAGAAGACTTATCAAGGTCAGAAGAGGGGCGGCTCATGAAGGTGGAGGTCATCTCAAGATGAGAAAGTCCCTGAGAGTTTCTGAAGATCTCCTGTTCCCATGGATACCTTACAGAGCCAAGGATGGGTTCCGCTTCTCTCTCTGACACCTCTGCTCTTGCCTTGGGCACAGGAACTTGCCACTTTGGGCTATAACTTTAATTGCTTGATATTTGTGTGTAAAGTACAGTGATCAGTAGTTTGGAGTCTCAACTAATTTCATAAATTTCTTTTTTTTTAAATTTTGGCCATGCTGCACGGCTTGTGGGATCTTAGTTCCCTGACCAGGGATTGAACCCGTGCCCTCAGCAGTGAAAGCGAGGAGTCCTAACCACTGGACCACCAGGGAATTCCCAATAAATACATTTCTTTTGATAGAAAGAGCTTTAGTGAATGGGTGAAGAAACTGGAGTTTTCAGACCCCCAGTGTTAGTCCAGGTACTATTTATTCCTTGTCTTTTAAAAATAAACATTTGGGCTTTCCTGGTGGTGCAGTGGTTGAGAGTCCGCCTGCCGATGCGGGGGACACGGGTTCGTGCCCCGGTCCGGGAAGATCCCACATTTCGCGGAGCGGCTGGACCCGTGAGCCACGGCCGCTGAGCCTGCACGTCTGGAGCCTGTGCTCCGCAATGGGAGAGGCCACAACAGAGAGAGGTCCGCGTACCACAAAAAAAAAAAAAAAAAAAGAGAGGATAGAATGTGAGCAGTAAAAGCCAAGAGGCCCCTGGGACTTCCCTGGTGGTCCAGTGGTAAAGAATCTGCTTTCCAATGCAGGGGACGCTGGTTCCATCTCTGGTCAGGGAACTAAGATCCCACATGCCACAGGGCAACTAAGCCGGCGCACCACACCTACTGAGCCTGCGTGCCTCAACTAGAGAGCCTGCGTGCTGCAAACTACAGAGCCCACGTGCTCTGGAACCCTTGCGCCACAACTAGAGAGAAGCCTGCGCGCCACAAGGAAAGATTCCCGCATGCCTTAATGTAGATCCCGCGTGCCGCAATTAAGACATGATGCAGCCAAATATTAAAAACAATAAAATAAAAAGCCAAGAGGTCCCTGGGTACAACCCTAAGGAAATTAATTTCAACCTTACTGTGCACTGCTTCTGAGCTCCAATTTTTTCCCAGTCACCTCGGTGAAGGGACTGATCAGATTTGAATGGTGTGAGCATGGTTCATGAGAAAGGGAGGATAAAGGAATCTAAGCCCTTACTGGTATTAGGATTCCACCTCTCAGCCCGCTTACCTATGGTTGAGCAGAGACCATCCATCCATGAGCCTTGTTTTTGCAGACCTCTTGGGGTGTTCCTCTCCCCTTTTCATTAATTGCCCCTGACCAGCTTTCTCAAGAGAACTTCTCAACCAGTTGTAACAAAGCTGGGAAGACTCCCGTCTTAAGTTTCGTCTAGTTTTTTTCATCATGACCCCTAGAGTTAAGAATTGTGCCAGTGGGAATTCATGACTGGTCCTCCCAGGAGCAGTCCTAGAACTGCAGGTTGTCTCCAAGGTATGCTGGAGAGATCTTGGGGAGGGTTGTCTGGGAACCCCTGAGGAGCAGGGATTCTCCGTCAAATGCCAGGACAGATGCTCTTCATTTACAGTGTCCATCTCTGGTGGGCCGGTCTTCAGGTTACTGAGACTCAAAAGGCCGAGATGTGCACAGGGGCACAAGTCCACATAATCCCCAGGTCTCACAAGAAGTGAGTGAAAGTGTTAATGACATCAACATATGTGCCCTCTTGGATGGTCTAGACGTGGCTTCCCCAATTGTTATTTCCTTTGATCCTCAGAATGTCCCTGGGAAACAAGCATGTATATTTGCTGTAAATATACAATAATGGGATTATATCATATTTGCTTTAATCACTTAACAGTATTGAGACTACATCTCTCCACCTAAAAAAAACAACATAATTCTTCCCACCTACAAAATAGCTCTAT